TCCCAAGGAGACCAATGAGGATAAGCCATCCCCTGCCCCAGACACTCACAGCATCCCAGCGTAGATTTACATTCATCCCCACCTCCATTCTTTATAAAAATCAAAATGTCTCTAAACTCCTCGAGCTAATTATAAAAGCAAATAGCTTTCCCTCCCTGAGTCATATTCCTGGGCTCGTAAAAATGCAATTCCACTCAGAGACCACCTTGTCGCAAACATGAAATCCGGGGCTTGCTTAGGAGGCAGCAGAGAGGAAAGGGTGAAGCGCCCCCTCGCCTCCGCCCTCCCCCAGCAGGCGCTGCCTTTATGGAGAGTCTATTTCCAGTCTGTTTACCTGGAAAGGGCCACGTGACCAATCCAGAAGGAAATGCTGACATCATTGTCTCTCTCTCTCTCACATGTGCAGCCTCCCTCCCTCCTGGCCAGCTCTGCCTGCATTCCGGCATCCATCCTCTCCACCTCTCCAGCGCCCGGCCCCTCCCCCACACTCACGCCTTCTCCCGTTTATTTCTCTGTCTTTCTCCTGTCACACTTTCCTTTGTTTTCTGTTTCCTTGTAGGCCGGCTCATAGATGGTCTTGGACGGACACGGGTGGGCGCGCGCGCGCGCACACACACACACACACACACACACACACATTCTGGGCCCCCTTGTCCTTTTCCTTCAACGAGCCTTTCTTCCTCTTTCAATCTCTTAGATCTGTGGCCATTGAGTCTTCACTCTGCTTTAAAAATACACTTTCTCTTTCTCTCTAGATTCGAAGCCTTCTAAATTAAAAAAAAAAAAAAAAGGCCTGGCAGTCCTAGAAACCTTGCAGGCCAAGGATGGGGGAGGGCGGAGCAAAGCTGCTCAGTCCAGCACTCCGTTTCCTGACCCCGGTGGCCTTGGAGATTTGGGTGTAGGGGGTTTGGTCAAACATGCCTTCTTTCTTTCTTTATTTCCAGCCTTTTCTCTCCCAGTTTCCCACCCACGTTCCCATCACTGCGTGGCCCGCGGGCCCTCTCTTCCCCGGAGCCAGACCCTGGGTCCCTGCAGCTCTTGGCCTTGTGCGTGCGGAGGAAGCACATGCCATTGGCTCCTGGACTGTTCTCTGCTGCTTCTGCTGCTGCTCATTCTGTCAGGGGCCTCGGAGGCTTCTCAGTATCCTTCCAGCCTGGGACCCGGGGAGCTGGGGAGACCCCCAGGCAGAGAGGAGGAGCAGCGGTCAGCGCAGGTGCCTCCCGCCTGTGCCAAGCGCTGTTTATACGCAGAGCTGTGTGACAGGGCTCTAGGGTTCGGCTGCTTGGGAAAAGCTTTCTTGGTGCATGTGGGCACAGAGCCAAAGCATGCAGTTTAGAGGAAACGTTGAATAAAGACATGGGAGCCTCAACTGTTTATTCTTACAGAAAGGTGGAGATATATCCCCGGGGGTCTGCCTCAAAAGTGGACCACAAGGTAGTGGGTCCAGGAGTAAAACAACTCAGGGAGTCAAAGGGAATGGCTGGCTTGGGCCAAGGGGCAGAAGGTTCCCACCTCCCACCCCCGGCTGTCATCCTGGGGTCACACACCTTTTAGTTTGGGGTGGGGCCGCCAAGTGAAAGGTCATATGGGAAGGCCATGCAAGAATGAGACCATGGTGCACTCAGAATCCCCAATAGGTTGGAAGACTTTCGAAAAATCTAGAGATGAGACCATCAGCATTAAAATAGTACTGCTCTTCAGTGTTCAGATGTTTTCCTGTGTCTTGAGAAACATTTCCAGCTCCGTGCTGGTCCACAAGGCTCTGGCAGCCAGTAAGGAAGAATTCAGATATGAGGTTACCTTCTGGAGACCTTTTCACAGATCAGTATACAGAGTTGGCAGAGGGTCTGGCTGAGGAGGTCCAGTTATAGATGTGTCTCTTCAGGCATGTCGGGATCTTAATCCTCTTCAGACATGCTGATTCCAGAACTTTCTACAGGCTTTTAAAATATTTTGTACAAGTTCTAATTTTAAACTTCCAAATGTTATAGGCTAAGGACTCACTCCTTTGAGTTGCCAATTAGGTAGGTAGCTCTGCTGGTTAATTAAATGATTTTTTGTGGGTTTGGAATCCAAATAAAGTGGTGTTGGGAGTTTTAATGTCGCTCTTATCATCTCCATGAATATTTACGGGGCCCTGGCTGTATTAAAGTACAAAAGAATGAGGTGGAACACAGATTCCAAACTCTCTGGCTGTGAGTTAGAGATGCCTCTGTTATGGATTCTACACTATCCAATTATTATCAATGTTTGTCCAGCTAAATCCCAGAGTGCTGGAGAAAGGTGATAGAGGGTGGTAGGAATTATGCAAAAAACCAGCTGGGTTCTGGGTCTTTTAACATAGCGCCTTTCAATTTTGGAGAGATCTGAGAGAGGGTATGTGGGAAGTTCTTTTTCATCCTTGAGTCTAGCTCAGGCTCACCTCATGTGGACCCTGTCTCAGGCTCAGAGTTGGGGTTGACATCACCCTGCTTCTCATAGTCAGCAATCTGGGCAGATTTCCTGGATTAGTTTATAATTATCCAGGCACCAACATAACATCAGTAAGACCCCTTTGTTTCACTACTCAATACCTGTGACAATGTGGAAATGCACACGCATTTGTGAATAGATTTGTATTCATGTTCTGAGTTGCCCCACCTGCTTCCCCATCTAGCACCATATGGAGTACACACCGTCCACATCTCCATGAATGCCCACAGTGCTAATTGGTACTCAGTGGTGTGCCTACGGTGAAGAGGAGGATAATGATAATGTTGATGATTATGATGATGACAATGATGACAGCACTGAATTACTAATAATGATTCCAGGATGAAAAGCATTCTGGGCAAAGATATGTGCTTAACAAAGACTGCCTGACTGACTGACTGAATGAATGAATGAATAAACTTTAGGTCTTCTACTGAGTGTCTTTCTGAGATCTGGTTCTTAACTTTTAAAAAATTACTTTTTTAAAAGAAACAATCTCAACAAGCTTGTGGGCTGGGCTAAAGTGGCATGGCAATAATACCAGGTGGAATGGCAATCACTTTTCATCATTGATGTATTTAAAAAATAGATGATTCAGTTACCCAACACTTTTCTCTCTCAGGACAAATGGCCACAGAACAGGAAGTCCTTCTCAGGGACCTACAACTCAGAACCTTGTTCTAATCCTCTCGGGGCAGGACCTCAGAGAGGTGACATTGGTAGCTCAGGACAAACATGCCTCATAGTCAGGGCATGAAGGTCCGCCAGCCAGAGATGGAAGCACCTCTCAGTGATATAAAAATATACAAATCAGCAAAGAGATTAAAACCATAGAAAAGTAAATAAGTGTAAGAAAGAGCTCCTTCCCTACCTAGAAGAATCAAGAGAGTTTTAAGAAAAAAAATCACTAAAGACTTGGGTTGTAGTCCCAGCTCTGCCAGGAGGAGCCAAACGGCCTCCAGCGAGTCACTTAATCCTTGGAGTGTGTTTCCTGCTTGTAAAGTGGAGGTGACAGTACACACCCCGCAGGGCTGAGCGGGTGGATTTACAGTGTCTAGCACAATGCCTGGCACCTGGCGTGTTCAATACATGGTGGGAATGAGTCATGGTATCCTGATACTAGTAACGTGTCTGCACTTTTGGGCTGGAGTGTGAAGATCAAATAATTGTAGAAGTATTTCCTGAGCTAGAAGGCCTTACATCTAAGATACTCTTCTTAGGTATTATTGGGCTCTGAGTGTAATCTACTAATATTGGGGAATGGGGCAATGAGATAAAAATACATTAACAAGGACAAACTTTCTCTATATACAGATATCTGATATATCTAATTCCAGCCATAAAGTTACTGAATTATGAGGAATGCAAGCACCCACCAGACTTCCTCGGGGGGGGGGGGGTCTTGTGAAGATTGATAGTTAAAAATGACATAACTTATTAAGGTGCTTGGGATCCCCGAAACGGCGGGGATATGTAAATCTAGGGAATAATCATCAACCTAATATCCTTACCATTTCTAGCAACAGACTTTCCTAGGCTGGAATAGAATTTCCAGAAGTTATCTTTCCCTTTTGGAATTACAGAGTATGACAGATTTATTTCCACACATCTCACTTGCTTTCAGAGTTATTGTTTCCTCTTATTTTCCCCCCTCTTTGGTGATGGAGAAGCCTGAGAACTGATTCTGTCAGGGAGTTCTTGGGGAATTTTCAGAAGGATGTACAATCAGGGTATATGAATGATTGTGAGCAGCCAGCGTGTATTTTATTTTATAAAAAATATATTCATAACCAATCTTCCAAGCCTATCTAAATAATCAAAACCACGAATGACAAACACATCAAATACATTTTTCAGGACTCGGGGATCCTTTTGGCGTGAGTTACCATCATTTCTTCCTCTTAAAGCAGCTCAGGTAACTTTTCCCCTGCTGCTGGGCCTCTCGAAAAGGATGTGCCATTAAATTCAGACCCCAGGATGGGAGCTCCATTGCTCCCTGGACAGCTAATGCCATTCCCCAAATTTTCTGAATTTATCGACCAAGGTGTTGGATGGAGCAGGTTCAAGCATCTTGCTAAATGAAATATAGATTACATTTATCATTTCCCCTCAATCTACTAAAATCTTGTTACTCTTTCATGGAAAGAAATGAATCAGTTTGACAGGACTTGTTCTGACAAGTGATATAAGCTCCCAACACTCCATTCACTGCAGATTATTCTAGAAATGATTTGGAGATCATTTTTTCCAGGTAAATTTCCAGATTAGGATATTACAAACTTCCCTTTTTAAAAGTAAAGGCATTAATCCTGGTTCTTTTCAGTCTTTCCACATTCTTAAAAATGAAGTCACTCTCCCACAATTTTAGCCAATAATAAGAATACTCTTATAAAATTTCTTACCCTGCAAGAAATCTACATTTTTAATTTAAAAAGGTGTTTCTACCAGTATTTATAGAATATTTAAAAGCTGATCATGCAGAAAACAACGAGGAAACAAATGGTCAAGGCTTAAGACCTCTGCTTTCACAGGCTTATTTCCAGATCTCTGTCATGGATTTGGGTATCATCTAAGAGATTTCTGGATTGAATGGGTTCAAGGGCAAGGACAGGTATGGTGAATTTTCAGATTGTGTCAATCTTGTAAGTCTCATGCAAGACAAAGTCACATTTTCCATAAATATATTAAAAATCCACTAGGAAGTAAAGGAGAAAAAATGGGAGAAAACATCTGAAAAACCTCATAGCTTATACCTTATATCATGAGTTACAGGGTCTGCACACTTATTGAAATTTTGGGGCTTAATAAAAACCCAACATTTCCATAACACACACAGCATGGATACACCCTGTAAGTCAGAACAGCCCCAAAGCTATAAAGACCAAGGTGGAAGCGTGAAGGTGACTACCTTGAAATGAAGTTCAGGTATCTCAGGCACTTCTGGGTATCTCTAGGGTTGGGGGTTTCTCAGTTTAATGGAGATAGATGCTTGTTTAAAGGCTCCGATGCAGAAAACTCACATTGCCCTAACAGGTCAAAGTTTGGTATTCACCAATCTCTGTGAGCCTGAAATTTATGTTCCTGCATCCTCTCACTGGTCCACCTGACTGCTTAGGCCTCTGGTCTGCTCAACACTGCTGGGGATGTAAAGAACTTAAGTTGACTGCACCCTCTACAAAGTTCTACAATGCAATAGCCAATCATGGGTGGCTGTTGACTCCTCAACAAATTTCCCAAACCTGCTATTACACACCTTTTCCACATTCCTCAAGCCCCCACCAACCCCACTCTTTCTTAACTCTGGGCAAAAAATTTAACCCCTTGTTTCTTGAAATCATGATTGGAATGAACTTAATCAACTTGCCTTTTGCATTACCTTTAGGCAATTACCTTTTACACCACAAAATGCCTTGTATCCTTAACCATTACTTCCTTTCTCCTATTCTACTTTGCTTCTAATGCAAATATTTCCTGAGCTCTAGAGCCCAACCCTTCCAGGTCCCTCCAATTCCCTACTCTTTCATGTATTTCTCTCTCTCTCTCTCTGCATCTGTACCCACAGTGCTCCTGCCCCTACTCTCATAGCTTTCCTTAATCATTCTATTTCTTTTTGGATACCTATACATACTCTATTCTCTCTTATTAAAAACCAAACTTCTTTGGATCCTATCACCTATTCAATAGATACCTATACATACTCTATTCTCTTTTATTAAAAACCAAACTTCTTTGGATCCTATCACCTATTCAATATGCACCCTTCCATTCACTACCCAACTTCCTAACCACACACACACACACACACACACACACACAAGATCTCCAGGCCATGGGCGAACACCTCCAGGTCTGTGGATGGCTCTGACTATTGGAGAAGGATGGTCATTATTTTGAGCCAAAACTTATTCCTTAACAGATTTGTCCATTGGTTCTAGTGTCATCTTGAGAGACCACACAAAGCATGTTTAATTCCCTGATGCAGACGATCTTTCTCCTGTCCTACCTTCTCTCTGAACTTCCTGAGCTAAGCACTTCCAGTTCCTTCATCTCTTCTTTACATGACCTAGTCCTGAGTTCCCTTGCCTCCCTGTTAACAGTTTGTCTCTTAAAAGGTTGTGGCCAAGAGTAAATGTAGGTTTATATATATGCTCTGCCTAATACAATACAGCAGGGTTCTCACCTTTATTCTCCTCATTACACTTTGCTCAGCACAGCTGCTGAATCCTTCTGCTGTTAACTTAAACCTCTAAGACAGTGGTTTGCAAAGTGTGGTGCATGGAGCTTCTATGTCCGCATGACCCAGGAAACTTTAATAAATGCAGATTCTTGGGCCCACCTCAAACTTGTTCAATCTGACAATCTGGGGGTAGCACCTGGAATCTATGTTTTAAACGAGTATGCTCGATGATTCCTAACACATACAAATCTGGAAAAAATGCTTTCTCAACATCTGTTGCCAAGCCTGGCCTCCTCCTCCTGTGTTTGTGCAGATGGGTTTTTGGATCCAAGACAAGACCTTCCATTTTCTTGTACTATATTTCATCTTGTTAGAATTAGTGCATTGCCTCAGTCTATCAAAATCTGTTGAGTTCTTTATTCTGCAACATATGCTTCATGACAGCCACACATGGATTAAGACCCAAAATCTTGATGTCCCAGCACCAAGAATCCCCCTCCACAACTATAGTCAACCAATTACTAACAAACTCATACTTCACCTTCTTTCCCATGAGGTCAATGGACAAATTGTCATTTGTCATGTTGCCAACTGCCTTGGTAAAGCCTGGATGTTCTTTGTCTTCCATATTTCCCAGATCCACTGGTCTATATCAACCCTGTCAGAGGGAAATGAAGCATGCTTACATGCCATTTACACATGCAGTGTAGACTCTGTGGCCAGGCAATGGACTGCAATGTGCAGAATCCACCTTCTTTTCCTGTGACCTTTTTCTGAACACCTATGGAACTTAGGGTATAGGGCCCTGACTTGTACTATAAATGTTCCTGTCCACATTAAAAAGACTTTTTAAACATGTTTTTATTCATTTGAGAGAGAGAGAGAGAGGAAGGAAGAGGGATAGAGGGATCAAAACAACAATAAAAGAGATACATTGATTGGCTGCCTCTTGCACACCACCTACTGGGGATTGAGCCTGCAACCTGGGATGTGCCCTGACCAGGAATGGAACCAGTGACCTCTTAGTTTATGGGTCAATGCTCAACCACTGAGCCACACTGGCTGGGCCCTGTCCACATTTTGACTCTACTACTAGACAAAGAGCTCTTGAACACTGAAGTTGTGTCTTACAGGTCCCTAAATATCATAAGGTAATGAACACAATGTCCTACTCAGTGAGTTTTCTTTGAATGGATGCTTTTTTTTTAATAAGATGAAAGCAGACTCCACAGTGAATATTAGGAGACTATGCTCCTCAGGCATGAAGAAAGTGGTGTGTCTGGACAGATCTCCACAGGCCCAATTGTCTCTCTTAGTCACTGTGCATTCAAATGAGCTTGTTAGAATAAAGGCAATCTTTGAAATGAAGTGTGATGAAAACACTGAGAAATGATGACACAATTTCTGAAACATCACAACTTTACTGGAATCTGTGGCAATAGCCAAATGAGACATAAGAAAGCGTTTCCAAAAAACCTTGGCTTACTGGAGCCACCTAAGTCAGCATAGCATGCAAACAAGTTGATTATGGTTTTCAATCTAATGAGACCCTTTGAGACGATATAGACAAAGTGTATCAATAGGTCATGAGATGCTGGACAAGGAGATCTAGCTTCCTTCTACATCACAACTGCTAACACATCTGATAGTTATCTGCTGTATAAGATGGCGAGGGTAAACAACTATAAATGAATGGGGGGAAGTTCTGTGGTTTCCTCGGGTCAAGTGACTTTCTTCATGGTCACATCTTGTCTTTCCTGTTTCTTACAGGCCCAAGAACACTTGACAAACACTCCAGAACATGCCCCTACTGGAAAAGCCACACAGCCCAGCTCCACATACCTGTTCTGCATGAGGTCTAGGGCAGTGGTTCGCAACTGGGGGTGGGGGGTAACTTTCCCTCCACCCCACCCAGGAACATTTGGCAATGTCTGGGACATTTTTTGGTTGATATAGAGGTGCCATTGGCATATAGTGGTAGAGGCCAGGGATGCTTCTAAATATCTTATAATGCACAGGCCAACCTCCCTCCACCAATAAAGAATTATCTGGCTCAAAATGCTAATAGTTATTATCTCCATAAAAATTTCAAGTAAAAAAAAATATGAAGAGCACCACTTTGGGGAGTCCCTGGTCTAGTGCTATGATTCTGATCCCAAACCTGGAAAGACCGACAGATCCATATCAAAGGGTCATGACCTGCTGTGGGTCTGTGAAGTAGCTCACAGGTGACAGACACTGCAAGGCACTTAGCAGTGCTATGGTGAGGTGAGGGTACCAAGGCAGGAAGCTCTGCCCAGTGGACTGGTTTGATCGGCAGCCTGAATAGCAGTAGGGATACCCATAGCTTTGACCTCTGAGTCACTTACTGGAAGGGCCCTCGGTCACCTCCACTGGAGGGCAGATGGAGGAACGCGGACTCAGTAGAAATGTGCAAGAGGCAGCAACAAGCCACATTCATGGTCACAGAAGGGCCCTGAACAACAGGTTAGGAAGATGTACTAGAGGCTGTAAATATTCAGGATTTCAAGGAGGACATTAAGCAAATGTTCCAGCTGGACAAAGTGTGGGGGTTGTGCCGGCTGCAGGCAAGTCTGGGTCCTATAGGAATGAAAGGTGACTCACTTTACCCGAAGTCCTGGATGGCAGACACATCCCCCCCCCCCCGACTTGCTATTATTTTTGATACGGCCAAGATTTTAAACATCACCAGTTTTCTACATCACAGGGAAGCTGGTAGATTTAATGAAGCCTCCAGATTCCCCTTGAGAGATGATTACAGCTCTAATTAAAAACGGGGTGACGGACAAGAACCCCATGGGACTCTCTAAGCAAGTGGCATTCGCACATCTTCTTTCATGGACAAGATCTCGTTGCTCATGTCAGTCTGGGCTCTTTCCAGTAAAGGTGAGTGTTGCCAAATTCTAACACATTATGATATTTAATGTGGTTCAAAGATCAGGAAGTATTTAAACTTACAAGGGACAAGAAGTTTATAAGCCAAGTTAGACTCTGATTTCTTTCACTTCGTATACCTGGACTCACCATCTGCATGATTACATGTAGCCTAGAATACAGGAGGAGTCACCTGGGTAAGGCAGGTCAGGGAGGAATGAGTGGGAGGTGAGGGTTAGCACTCCACACTCACAGAGGGCGTTAGGGACCAGGTGGGTGTGGCAAGTCAGGGTAGATGGAGGGGCCACAAGTCCAGGTAATCAAATGAGGTTTAGAACATTATCAAGTAGGTCTTGAAGGTCAAGGCAGTCAAATGTACAGGCTCAGGAGATCAAACATTGAGACAACAGTTTCAGAAGATGAACTACGAATAGGCGCTTGTCTTATCACAAGAAGACTGCTCTTCTAACCCCTATGGTCTAATCCCTATGGTGCTGGCCAGTTACTGGGGAGCCCTGGCCCTCCATAGGTTCTGAAAGGGGGGTCAGAACACTTAATCTCCATAGCAGAGGGGTGGGGTGGGTGATAGCCAGAGAGAACCACCAGCAGCAGACCCCAAGAGGCCGATAATTTAATAATGATCATCAAGTCTTTTATTAATGACTGGCAATATTTGGAGATTCCCCTCACCAACGTTCAGACCTGGGGATTTGTCTGTAGGATTTAAGGGTGAAGAAATATTCCTGCACCCAACTGTGTTTGCTTTGAGGCTGATGGCACCCAGCGTCATCGGCAGCCGCGATTCCTCCCCAGACAGCTCCATGTGACCTTCAGAATGTCTTCCCATGATTCCCAAATAGGCTGGGTTTTCTCTCCTGGGAATATCTTGCCCCTCTCCATCAACAGCTACCCGAAACGTCTCCTTGAGAACCCCTTGCTTCCTACTCTCTGCTCGCCAAGTTCAGTGCACATAACTGTACTTAAGCTATATGGGCAATTATTTTTCTTGTTAATTATTTCTCTCATGAGGCAGGAGGTACTTTGAGCCCAGGAGCCATTTGTTTGAGCATGTGGGTACCGTGCGCCTCGCACACTACCTGCCGCATAGTATACGTTCAATGAATGTTTGTAGAGGGAAAGGAGGGAAGAGGTAGGTAGAGAGGTTAAAGAAGCAGTAAGACCACCAACCGGGCAGACAGCAGTGTCAGGCTCTTCCCCAAAGGATTTTGGCTCGCCAGCCTGGGGGAGCCCACCTCGGGGAGAGCTACAGAATGGTTGGCAACGGCAATTCAGTGGCTGCAGGGATGTGATTCCCACGGTGCTTACTGGCAGAACCCCCGGGAATCCCTCCTTCTTGGCCTCGCCAGTGACTTACCTTCCTGGAAGGCCGGCACACAGCTCTGTGCTGGCCACACTTCTGCAGAGCCCGCCAGCACAGCCAGAGGTTGGCGGTGCCAGAGGGTGCCTCCAAGGCCAGAGGCCGGGCCTTGCTAAGTCTTGTCACACTCCTACCACTTTCCCTGGAGGCCTCGGAAATGTGATGTTATTGTATTTTGTCACCATTAATAATGATCAAAAACTGTCCACCTCCGTTTTGGCGAATTGCTTTTCTCTATTTGCCATCCTCATCGGATGAAAGAGTTTGCAGAGCCGGGTCCTCATTTAAAAATTCCCCATATAGCCCTGACCGGTTTGGCTCAGTGGATAGAGCGTCGGCCTGCGGACTGAAGGGTCCCAGGTTCAATTCCAGTCAAGGGCATGTACCTTGGTTGTGGGCACATCCCCAGGTGGGGGTATGCAGGAGGCAGCTGATCAATGTTTCTCTCTCATCGATGTTTCTAACTCTCTATCCCTCTCCTTTCCTCTCTGTAAAAAATCAATAAAATATATTTAAAAAAATTCCCCATATATAGCTTTTGAAAGTGCTTCTTAATTCTCAAACTAGTACCCACTACTGACGAAGGTTATTGTAACCAACACCCCGGAATACATCTATGAGGATTTTTCAGGGCCCTAGAACTTGACAACACAGATCGCATCTACTTTCCATGCGCCTTCACAAACCAATAAATTCAGTCTTCTCAGGAGATTCAATAGAACAGTCAGCACACATCCCCAACAGCTGTTAGAAATCGGTTCTGTAGACACAGAACCTATTCAAAGAAAGTGCTTTTAAGCTCGTTGTTGAACATGGTAATGTAATATCTTGCAATCACAGAGTTAAAGAATGTTTGAGCTAGAAGGTATCTTATAGGCAGACTGGTCAGAACTAGGATGCTGAGAGGCCCGGCTGGAGTGGGTAAGCAACTTGCCCAAGGACACACAGCTAGTGAGTGGTCCAGTGTGGCTAGAAACCAAACACAATGACCTCACACCACCTTTCTGCTGCTTGGTATCAACGGTCTGTATATACATGGTAACACAGACACACACACCCCCACAGAGAGGAGCCTTTCCTCACATAGACTGAATTGTCTGCAGAAACTGACAGCCCTGATAAAACAATAACCCATTTAAATTGAGGGCAGGACTAGGCCCGGAGCCTTCCCAGCCCCCCAGAAAACAGAACATTGTTTCCGTCCAAACCTTGCACTGAAAGGAAGCCTGTCAGCTGGCAATGACCTCGTGAGACAACTTTGGGGAGAGCAAAGGGCCGAGAAGAGAAAGGCCTCATTCTCACTGCAAACAGGAAAAGGAGAGAGAAAAAGAAAGGTCTGTCTCCACACAAGCTTTGCAGGGCTGGCTATGAACTGCTCCAGTCCGTTCTGTCAAATAGCCGCCTTCAGAGAAGCAAGCCAAGCGCGAGAACAGCGGCTCGGGGACGACTGCGCCCAGGACACGGCGCGGGACGGTGCACACGCGCCCTGGCTCTCTCGCGCCCTGGGAGAGCGCTTATATGGGCTCCGTGAGGCTAGGTAATAAACACGCTGTCTTCGCCCGGCTATTTATGGGTTGCTCAGGGCATCCTGTTCTCTCCAGTGCCCTCACCTGCACAGACGGCGCCCGCAGACCCCGAGTTTAATAGGGACAACGGTAAATGGGAGCGGCTCTGTGGGCCCCACATGCTCCTGTTTCCCTGGCCACCACGCGAATTGCAGAGAAAGGTCAGTCTGTGTCCACACACCTATTCTCGGCCCCCTCCTCCAGGTTAAACCCCTCCTCCTTTTCCCCCAGCTCCTCGTGTTCTTCCTTCCTTTCAGACATCTCTCGCAGACATCTCTCCCAGATACCCTTCTGTCTTACCCCGCCAGGCACTCTCATTCTTCCGCGATGGGTCAACCACCTCGGGGAACAAGAACAACTGTGAAGCCTGCGCAGCACCAGCTGTCACCTCGGGCAGAGGCTCTGGGGACCTCTGGCCAACCAGGCGCACGCGAGTGAAGGAGCGGATCTAGTCCTACCTGTTGCTGACTGCCAGGTTCACTCAGGAGCCGTGCGCTGCCCCCACACACATTGCGTTTGGGTTGCAAAGGAGCGAGATGCACGTTGGAGAGCGGGGAGTGCGTCCAGGCCAACAGACGTCTGAAGGCTACAGAGGAAGACGCCAGAAGTGTCCACTGGATGCAAGACCAGGGTCGGTCAGTTGGGTCAGTTTGGGGGCCCTTGTCGCTCAGCTCCTTTGGGGGTCGCAGGGCTCCCGGAGCAGATGGGTCCTGCATGAAGGGAGCGAGTCACAGCTGCATGCTGTCCCCCCGGGGGCCATCACTCAAGCCTGGAGCCCGGCCACCTCTCAGCCTGGTCTTCATCTTGGGCTAACCCGTCGCACCCTGGAAACAGACAAGACAGAGGAGGATGCGTTAACTCGGCTGCTCCCCGCAGAGCGCAGCTCGCCATTGCAGCGCTGATTAAATACAGGACATTATCTCACCATAATGCCCTCCTGGCCGCGTTCCCAGGAAAATTCTAACTAATCATAAAAATAGAAAGAAAAACGCAACCTAAATTCCATTCCTCGTCTTAAATGAGTGATGTGTTCACTTTTATTTATTTTTCTGGAAGCAAGGCGGGAAAAGAAAATGAATTTTAGGGCTTAGAAAAACAAGCTACTAATAGTACTAAGTAGAGCTGGGCGGTGGTGCAGACAGCGGGATGCAGCCAGCGCGGCCTGGGCGGGTCCGGGCCCTGCTCCTGGCTGCACGCTTCGAGTCTTAAGCTGGAGCACCCAGGATGGTGGGAGGGAAGGGGGTGGTTGTGGGGCCAGGTGTGGACACACACACATATGCACACACACATACATACACACACGCATGCACACACAAATACACATACCCATTCAAGCTAGGTGCTCAACGGCACTTTTATGGCCCTGGCAGGCAGATGCTCTTCCAATCCTCCTTTTCAGCAATGAGAGGAAGCCTGTCAGCTGGCAATGACCTCGGGCGACAACATCTTTCTCTAACATCATTCTCTCTCTGGAGACTCGGGCACACGATTTAGCTATTCCCTGCCTGGAGTTTTTCCTGGAGGTTCATCTAGCCACTTCCTGCTCACCCTTCAGCGATCAGAGCGAATGGCACTTCCTTCAGGAAGCTGTCTCCAAGACCCCTTTCCCGACTCCAGTGCGGTGCTGGTGGTCTACACCTCCTGCCCAGCTGTCACGTGGCTACAGTTCACGCACTAATTGGCTGTTGAAGGGCTGCCCCCACCCTAAGATCGAAAAACGACTTGTTAACTACTTTGTATGTAGCTGGTACCTAGTAGCTGTTCAACTAACGGCGGTGGTGGGTGCATGCTGGCAGATCGGCTTGGACTCGAAGGGTACTCTCTGTTCCTTTGGTCCGTACCAAGCTGGGAAGTCACGAGCGAATGTGGAAGCCGATCTCGGTGGGTCAATAACACTGGGTATCATGCCCCTCCCAGGTAATTTCTGCTATTTCTTTCTGGGAAGTCTTCACGGAGAAACCACGGGAGAGTGCAAAATCCAGAAAACCAGCTTCTGAGGTGCTCTGGTAATGTTACACGGGATGTAAAGAAAATAAAGGACACACCCCACCCCGCTCCTGTCTCCACCTGCCCCCGCGCCGGCACTGGCATCCCAACGCGGCCATCCCCCATCGTCGCTGGGCCGCAGTAATGGGCACTGCTCCTTGATGGCCAACTTCTAGCCGGGCTAATTAAGCATACTGAGCTAATAACCTTCCATTTTGGGACCAGGATTATTCATAATTTAATGTATTGCTGCTGAAACATTAACCTTTCGACAACTGGCATGCGGCCCACGGCAGCCCGAGTGCTGACCATCTTTCAGTAAAATGAGTGTTATTGTTAAAACGGGTATAAATCATTCATGGCTGCAGCTTTTGTGTCAGACCCTCCGTGAAAATAAGCAGTAAGCTGGGTAATTTATTTACCTTTTGGTGATTATTTTTTATGATTTTATGATCATATTCAATGATTCATAAACATTGGCCTGGTGCCATTTCGTAATCATTTCACATTTTAAATATGGTGCGGCTGTCCTGCTTTTCATCTTTAAAAGTTTCAGGATTGATACCGGGCAACTTGATCCAGGCACAAATGCAATTTCATTGGAAAGACAGAGGGAGGGTGGAGGGTGGAGGGAAGAGGTCCCAGCCCCCTTCGTTTGAACAAAACCATTTTCAATGGAGCTGTTCGGAGCTTCCACTTGTTGTAGCTTTGCACTCACCGCAGCCAACTTTCTTTGAAGTTTAACACACAGAGGGCGCCTTGAAATCTGAATAAAAGCACAGGAAAACGGTTAACAAGCTTCTGGTTGGAAAGATGATGGGAAGGAGCCGAAGGGCGGAGGGAGGCCTGGAAGGTCTGGCCTCGGGCCAACAAGGTTGGGAGCCACAAGTCTTCTCCCAGCACCTGGTTGGGGAATGTGAGTCTCTCCCCTGGGGTTCTGGAAACTTTACTGCCTGCCTGCCTGCTCCTGCGGCCAGCGCGGGGTTTGGGCTCCCATAACGGTTCCAGAAAGGAGCGTTTTCTCCTTATGGCAGCAAGTAGGAGCTGGAGGCTGAGAGGCGGGCAGGAGACTGCCGTCCATTCCACAGACTCTCTAGGTTCCCTTCACGCTTCTTAAACCAGCAAAACCCCCACAGAATTCCTAGTGTGTAGTAGGTGAAGCTGACATCCTGATGGTGAAAAGGAAGCAGGGTGGGGAGAGGGCAGGCAGGAAACGTGACGTCATGCTAAGACTCCTCTTTGAGGCAGGAGCGTGGTGCGGAGCAAGCTTGCTCCGGGACTTCTTCTCATGTCGGGTGTGCTGGCCCAGAGGGGACTCGGCCATAGACAGGAGCCATCGCCCCAAATTGGCAATGAGGTCTCCAAAGGCAGCCATAAGTATGTGCTTTAAACAAACAGCCACATCCATAGGAGAAGCCCAGGCAGATACGAGGAAGAGAACGGATGCGCTACTTGCTGGGACAGTTTGAACTGAGTAGCTCTGAGACGGTCACTATTGTCTTCTCTATCTTCAGCTTTTAAATTCGCATTTATAGCATTCATATTGGTCTTTATTTTGATTGTCTGGTTTTAGGATTTACCTGGAAACACACACACACACACACATACACACACACACAAAATTATAATCTATAATAATAAAAGTGAAATATGCTAATTAGACCAGACCTCCTTCTGGACGTCCTTCCGGATGACCTTCCAGACGAAGCCAGGGCTGCGAGAGCCAAGCCCCTTGCACAGATTTCGCGCATTGGGCCTCTAGTTATATATAAAAATTTAAATGTTTCATCATGCAAGGCAGTGACATTAATCACATTTACAATGTTACATAACTGTCGCCCCATTTCCAAAATTTTTCGTCACCCCAGACAGAAGCTCTGCACCCATGAAACAGTAACTCCCCCCTGCTCCAAGCCCCTGGAGACCTCTAAGTTCTGTCTCTACGGATTTGACTAGTCAGAATATTTTATGTAACTAGGATCATATAATATACATCTTTTTGTGTCTGGCTTATTTCACTGAGCATAATGTTTCCAAGGTTCATCCATGCAGTGGCATGTCTCAGAACTCCGTGCCTTTTTAGAGCTCAGTAATATTCCATTGTAAGGATAGACCGCATTGTGTTCATCTAGTCATGTGCTGATGAACTATTGGGTGGCTTATACCTTCTGGCTGTTGGGAATAATGCTGCTATGAACGGTGGTGTATGAGAATCGGAGTCCCTAATATATCAGGACTAATATTTGTTTTCATAAAAGGTCATTGCACATTATATACACTCATCTAACTTGATCATGGATGCTCTGCTTGCTAGCTTGGCAGTGCTGGCCTGGGCACAAGCAGCCAAGCCAGTCCTGCCTGGGGGTGAGTCTCCGGCCTCCTGTCAACACTGCTGCTCAGAGGACTGTCTGCAGTCACCTTCCGGCACGTCAAGGCCGGTGCAGGCTACGGATTCAGCACCAGCAACTTCCATCCTCTGTGTCGGATGAAACAGGCTGCCTCTCAGGTTTGATAAAGAACAAATTAAGAAACAGAATAACCTGGCATGAGTGAGATGCCCTTCAATCATGTCAGCCAGAGCAGATGTTGTCATGAAATTTGATGTTATGGATTTATTTCCTAATATAAAGTCTAAAGGGGAAAACAGCGTAAAAGCTACTCTGTGAATTGGACATGTCTATAGAGTGTGAATTGGATTCCAGACAAAATATTGTGAATGGTTAATAGGGTCAGTCTAAGTATATTTGCTGAAATAATCTCTTGGATATGCAAATATTCTGAGAACTACACTGTCAAATTTCTATTGTATCCTCTTATCTATGTGTTCACAGAGCTGCTACATGTTGTAACAAATGAAAAATGTGAATTTAAAAAAATAATGTCACCCTAAAATAATACTTCACTTTGAATAGTAATTTTTGTTGTCAGGATTTTAAAATTTTTGTCACACACTGGACAGCCAGGTTCTTAGAAGCAGCATTAGTTGGAGATATTAAGAGGTGAGCTTTGAGTGTCCTGTTCTGAGCAGAAACAGAAGTGGGGTAGGGCTAGGAGGGAGCGAGAGCAGATCACTTGTTCATCTTTTTAAAAACAATATCTTCTTATTGATTTCAGAGAGGAAAGGAGAGGGAGAGAGAGATAGAAACATAGATGATGAGAGAGAATCATTGATCGGCTGCCTCCTGCATGCCCCACTCTGGGAATCAAGCCCACAAAACTCGGGCATGTGCCCTGACTGGGAAGCAAAGCATGACCTCCTTGTTCATAGGTCGACGCTCAACCACTGAGCCACACCGGCTGGGCCACATATTCGTCTTGATCTGAGTCCCTTGTCTGCCACCAGCACCTGCCACGCCTTGGGGTTATCCCTGTGGAACTTCTGCTTCTGGCTCTCTGGGGCCCCCTCAGTGGAATTCCCCTTTCTAGGAACACTGTCGTGAGGACTTGAGGTGCTACCATCACATTCACCATCTCACCATCGTCATCAGCCCATTACACATGAGGATGGGGGCAAGGAGAACGCGGATGAGGAGCTCTCAGAGAGAAGCCTTGGGTTTTACTGTTCACAATTTCCAGGACTCTGCCATCAAACTGCGCAAACTAAAACCCTTAGCAAGTAGACAAACTGGTTGACTTGCATATCCTCTCCTTTCCCTAATTACTGAGAGTTGGGCTAATGAGCAGAGAAGGAATGAAAGGTGGACAGCTGATGCATGACCCTACCATACTGCTCATGTTCTAGAACAGCCCTGCCCAGGTACTCAGAAAAATATTTATCAAATAAATAAACTCACTAGATCCTCAAGAGTTGACATGACCTGATCGATGGGTGGGCCTTTTCCTCTTTGATCTGGCCAAAGAGGGTCTCCTGAGTTTGAGTAACTTTGCAGATTTTTGGTAGAAATATCAAGAAGTGGCAGAAAGTGGCTTTCATCCCACTTAAGTCAGAACATCTCCCAGATTTTGGTTTACAGGTTAGAATTCCCAGAATTCTCTAAAGCAAGGGTGGGGAACCTTTTTTCTGCCAAGGACCATTTGGATATTTATAACATCATTTGTGGGCCATACAAAATTATCAACTTAGAAATTAGCCTGCTATATTTGGTCAAACATTTAATTAACTCACCCTTAATGTCTTGGCAGGGCCAGACCAAGTGCCGGATGCTCCCCACCCCTGCTCTAAAGGGAGGATTCTGTGGGTAAGACATCAGAAAACAGCTGGTCATCAGCACCTTCCTGGTGTTCTCTTTATCCATTAATAGGCTCCACCATCCTTTCTCCTGTACTTCAGACCCTTCTCACCCCCTCCATTCATTCTCTAACCATCAAACCCCATCTGGTCTGTATCCCATCAGCTCAGAGCCCCGGGTGCCTTTGCCCTACCCAATCTGATGCCAATGTCCCTGCTCCATTTCCCTTCTGTTCCCATCCCGCGTGTACCCTTAGAGCAAGGATTTCTCAATTGTGACAATGGCCCACCGTTTCAGAATTTCTGGGGTATTAATTAAATATGCACATTTCTGTGGCCCATATAAGAGCTACCAAATCAGAATTTCTAAGGTAGGGTTTGGACCCCCCAGAATCACATAGAAAGTGAAGAACATTGTCTTTTGACACGAGGACTACCATTGCCATATTAATAAGATATAGTTCTATGGTGTAGCTATCGTGAATGAACTTCTGTAAGGCTACTCCTTTCCTGCATGCGTATGGAGGGAGGGCACAGGAATGAGGGCTGGTGCGAAGTGGACACTCACCATCTATTGGGAGGGGAAAGGAATCCAGGCAAAGTGGCGTTAGCTCTTTGGGGGCCTAGAGTGTGGTCATCACAGGTGGGTGTTCTGGAAGCCTTTGCAAAGCTCTCTGCTGCCCTTCCTATGATTTTTACAACTGGACGTGTGATTTGAAAAACAATCCATTTGTGAATGGCCTTTGGATTATCCTTATCTCTCCATTTTCTTATAGAAAGCTTCGGCTACATTTTCCCAGATGCTCTAAGACAGGATTTCTCAACCTTGTCACTATTGTCATTTTGGTCCAGATACTTCATTGTGGGGGCATCCCTGGACTCTACCCACTAGATGCCTCCCTGAGCTGTGACAACTAACAAAGTCTCCAGATACTCCCAAATGTGCCCCGGCAAGGGGGCAAAATCGCCTGGGTTGAGGACCACTGCTCTAAGAGAAATGCAACTCAGAGCCACAAAGAAGTTTAGCATCTCTTCTGAATTCAATTTTATGTTGAGATTGTCTTCTTCCTGACTTTCTTCTTTCTGTTAATGACACCACTGCTCTTCAACCCACATGCCCCTCACTAATTGGGTATTCCTCCTCAGTACTGCTTCTTCCATCCTCACCTCTGTGCCTCTACATTCAGAATTGGGGACCATGCATGTGAATTAGTCACAAGATGCATCTCAAAAGCTGCCTCTTCCAGCCTCTACATTCAGGGTACACATCCCGCCTCTCTTCTGGCATTATGTCCTGTCCATTTTGGGGGGGGGGTACATTTCTGCATGCTTATCTGTTTCTTTCACTGGATTTGAAGCTCTCAGAAGTGAGTTTCTTTGCTTTAAGTCATCTTCTCTTTTCTATATCACAGGACCTTGCATGATGTTGGCACTTGGAAAAATATTTGTTGAATTGAATTGAACGGGTACATTTCTTAATCACAGCCCCACCTCTGGCATTTGGTGATATTTGTATAGATTTTTTGACCTTTCCAAGCACTCTCACAATCATAATCACAGCTAGCCTCTCTCTCCTTGGTATTTGTGTCTTTTAATTTATCTGCATATGTTAAGAAGAAAATTACCACCTCAGCTCTATCAATTATTGGGGGACCCTGAGCAAGTTCCCAACTTCTCTGAGCCTTAGTTTCATCCTCTGTAAAAAGGTAGTAATAATAGCACCTATATCACAGGTTGTTGTAAAGGTTGAATGAGAGAACACATGTAGTGCTTAACGTGGCTCTTAGTATGTTAGGTGCTCAATACACGGTAGCCACTGGGTCCTGGTGGCCCTCCATATATATCTGTGTAAAGGCCTCCCTGGCTCCCAGTTCTACTGGACAGGGTTTAAAATCCTGGGCCATGAGCGCTTCAGGTCTCTAGTCCCACCTTCAGGCATTGTCCCGTGTAGGTCATACTCAGCACCTCATATTGGACTCTCCCTCTTCCTTTAGCAAGACTTGCATCGTCGTCTTATTCCTCCAGCCCGTCCCAGAGCAGCTCCCTCCACCTTCTCTCTCCTCCCCTTG